GTGCGACCGTGTAAGTCGCTCCTTTGTGCCCAAGCCGCCATCTCCAGAGCCTCCCCCCGTGCTACACTCCTTGTCGAGCACTTGAAAATTGCTACAAAACAAAAGAGAATTGGCAGGACCCTGCATCAATCGCTGCGGAAAAATGAAAAGTTGATTTAAGAAATGGGTCAGAAACTTCATTGATGATGTCTTAATGGCCGTCATCCTTTTTGGATTAGGTCCAGAATGGCGACAGCGCAAGTCGCTCCTTTGTGCCCAAGTCGCCTTCTCTAAAGCCTCCCTCCGTGCTACACTCCTTGTAGGTATACTGAAAATTATACTAAAATAGTATGATAAATAGTACGACCTGGCAAGGCAAAGGTCACAATGCGAGGCACAACTGGGCAGACACAGCAAGGCAATCATAACTATGCAGGCAGGCTAAGCAGAGCATGCAATGCAGCCTTAACTATGCAACCCGGGCCGGAGCTGTCATGCTCACCTAGCACTCACCCTCCCTTTCCCCTTTCCCCCACTCAACCACTCAGCCCCCTACTCCGTCCTCCAGCACCTGCCATAGGTCGCCCAACCGTGGCTCCCATGGGTCTGTTGGTGCCTGTGGGGAGGATGCTTCTGCCGCTCGGTTGGACTTGGTGAGCAGCCCCGTCGCCTGGCATCGCTGAAGCGTCACCGAGAAGCGTTGGCGGTAGTGGGCGTTGAGCCTTGCTGTCACCGTGGTCTGTGGGCCGTGGCGGGAACCCCTCTTGGCGGCATTAGTGGCTAATATACGGAAGAATTTGACTGTGTCTGCCGCTAATGCGCCATAGGTCTCTACCGCTAGTCCCAGGAACCCCACACACCGCGGCCTCTCCTGGTACATCTTGTGCTTGCTGATGCACGCCTCCTTGGCCGCCCACCCTGGGGCCCTTGTTGCCTCTAGACCCCGCTGCTGCAGAACCGGGTCCGTCACGGTGACGTCTGTCACCCATGTCTCAACTGTCTCTGAGACACGGATGCTCAGATCCGCCCGCTTCCGGTCCACCGGCGGTGAACATACCGTCGTCTTATGTAGTGTCATGTACTTAGCCTCTTGAGCCATGCGTAGGCACGCGTAGACCTATGCGTTGTGTGTCCTGGTGCGGTCTCCCCCTTCCCCACAGCGTAATAGGTGGTTGGGTAGGCTCTTATCTGTGGTGGCAGACCGTTCTTTGTTGTAGGGGCACTGGTCGGTGACTGGCAAGGTAAGCCCGAGACGTAGTCCCAGGGCCATGGAGAACTGCCCTGGGGAGAGAGTGAGGTCCGCCCAGGTCGGGACCGCGTTCAGCCAGTCCCCCGCGCCTGTGCCCTGAAGGCTGAGCAAGCGCAGGGGGTGTCTATTGTCTGTGCTGGGTCTGTCAATTCTAGTATCCGCCACAAGCTCGGCCGCACTCGCTCTGTTGATGTGGTTTGACAGTTGTAGCTGTAGGTTTTGTTACATGCCCAGGTTTGTGCGGAATTTGCTTAGCAGCAATCTGGCCCCCTCCGGCAGTCGTTCCTCAAGTTCCGCCAGCATAGACACCTCCCCCACTGTTGCGTGGTCTGGGGAGAGCAGGGTGGCAACACGGGCAAGGGAGTGATCCCGCAGAGTGTTTAGCTGTTGTAGTAGTTGTTGTGCCGCCACTACTGAGGAAAGATACGCAGCTGGAGCCTCTGAGATTGGGTCGATTAAGCCCAAGCCGCCAAGTCTAACTGGTAACGTTGACTGCCGCCAGGTGAGGCTCTGCTCAAGTTCCACCGTGGGGTAGTGGATCTTAGCCGCCGTGAGGGCCATGTAGAGCAGGGACTCGCTCCAGCTGCGCCAATCTCTCTCTCTCTCTCTCTCTCTCTCTCTCTCTCTCTCTCTCTCTCTCTCTCTCTCTCTCTCTCTCTCTCTCTCTCTCTCTCTCTCTCTCTCTCTCTCTCTCTCTCTCTCTAATGGTCCGTATATTGATAGGCCAGGAGGGTACAAACATGTAAAGAAAAACACAGAGTGCTAATATGCAAAGAAGCCTAGACTAACATTCCTGCCAAATCTCCTAGAGCTCAAGAAGAGGCTCTAGAACAGTAAAACAGTCCCCTAGATACAACTCTTGCCCTATCCCTCCTACAGGTGGGTTCTCTGCAGCAGCCGCCTCACCAAGCTTGAGCAGGTAACCCACGGATTGTGCCCTCTGCAAGGCAACCGACCACCTCTGCCTACACTGGTGTAGAAACTTTGCGGCATGAAAGGATTTAGAGTCGGCATTGAAGTAGCGCCGAGCCGCCGTATCTGCAAGGAGCTTCAGGAACACGGGAACCTCGGCGCAAGGGCAGCCGTAGGTCTCTACTGCTAGTGGGAAGAAGCCCACAGTCTCTGGCCGGTTAGCATAGTGCTTTATTTTCTTGTCGGCCTGCTCTCGAGCCGCCCATCCTCTGCCTTTCTGTGCCTCAGGGTCCCTCGTACTGATAGGGTCTGTGATGGTCACATCACACACCCAAACCGCCCCACAGCTTCTGTCCGTCATGGTAAAGTCAGCCGTCTGCTCCTCAATGGGGCAGTAAACATTGGACTCCTTGTGAACGATGAACCCCGTGTCTTACGCCATGCTAATGCATGCGTCCCGCAACTCGTTGTGGGTATTGGTACGATGTTTGCCCGTGCCGCAGCGGAAAAGGTGGTTGGGGAGGCGCGGGTCCGTGATAGCAGTGTGTTCTGTGCAATCGCAGTTCTTCGGTGTAGAGAAGGGGAGGCCTAGGCGGAAACGCACGGCATTGGCGAAATGTATCGGGCCTATGCACCGCGACGTAGCTACTGGTACTGCCGTCAGCCAGTCCCCTGTGCCGTGAGTGAAAACATCCTCTGTGTGTGGCCGGAGAGCGGGTTCAACTTCATCCGTCTCGTTTCCTGGACTTGCACGGCGTACCTACTACCCTGAACTTTAAGGGCTAGCGTGTGTTGGAGCTTAATATCCGAGCGGGAGAGCCTCTCCTTATCGAGGATTTCGCGTGCGTCAGAAGGCATAGCTAATTCGCATTCGGTGAGCCATGAATGAAGCGGAGTGTTGACGTCCCAGGGCATATCATGTGGCTGTGTGCTCGTGTCAAGGCAGTGTCCGGTGCTAGCGAGAGGGAGGAAAAGAATAGCGCCGCCTGTGTGAAGCTGGCTATAAAGCCGTAAACGCCTTCTACCAGAGGGTCCGTGATGCCTAGCCCGCCTAAGGACGACGGTAGCGACGCCTGCGCGCAAACTCTCGACTGCTCCGTGTTACACGTTGGGACTCTGATTCCGCACGACGTCAGGAGCGCGGCCAGGAGGTCTCTTCCCCACTGTGCCCAGGTATCACGTGGGAGAAGGTTTAGCGGTGTAGTTCTGGTAAGGTAAGCTACGCGTCTGGAAATACAGCGGGTGAGCAGCAGGGAGGCTACTTGGGGGTCGGCTCGTTCGAGGAGCGGCAGCGGCTTCGCCATCTCCTCCAGTTGCCCTGCTAGGAATTTGGCGGCGCCAGTGGCAGGCCCCAGTTAGCTACCGAGTAATCGCACCCCGTCCTTGGAAAACGGGACCCCCGGCGGCAGCTGCGTTATCTCGTCGCCGGTCGTGCTCCAGGCAGCACATTTCTGCGGATTGTGTTTTAGCCCCAGTTGTGCCAACTTGCTGGTGAAAAGCGTGAAGGCTGCTACGGTGTCCTCTGCCTCGCTAAAAAACGTTATGTCATCCGCATACGCTAAGCAGGTCACTTCGGGGTGTGCCTCTGCAGTTTCGCGGAGAGCCGGGTGTATCCCTGCCGCGAACAGTAGTGGGCCAAGTGGGTCCCCATGCCTGACCCCACGTTCACTGTTCAGCGGGGAGCTTGCAAAATTCGCGTCCAGGTACAGCTCCGAAGGGTTACCATACATTAGCCGGACCAATGGGAGTAGTGGCGAGAGACTGTTGTCACGGAGCGCGTCGATAATTGCCTGACGCAAAATGCAGTTGAAAGCGTTTGAAATGTCAGCCTGCAGCACCACGCAGCTGTCTCGTGAGTCAACAAAGGAACGAGCGACGTGAATGTTTGCCTCAGCTCCCCCTGTCACTGCCATCCCGTACTGTAGTGGCACGAAGTGGTCACGTGCAGCCTCCCCAATTACGGTCAGCGCTGCCTTGGCTGCGAGGCGAGTCAGGCACTCGCCGATTGCTATTGGTCGTGCCCCGCCCCCAAGTTTGGACAGCGCGATAAGGCGCGAGGCACTCAGCAAGTCTGCCACTGGCTCGGGTAGCTTTCCTGCCAGCAGCGTGTTGACCAGGGCGTGTAGGTGGGTGCAGACCGATGCGTTGGTTGCGGATGCGTCGCGCAGGTGTTCGAAAGTGGTTCCTGACGGTCCCACCCCAACGCCATTTTCGCATCTGCCCAAAAGTTTGACGAAGTCAGCTTGGCCGATTTGGAGGGTCGGGCCCATTGCAGTCGACTAGGTCAACTCCCTGTTGTCACCTGGCGGGTGTTTTGTCCGTTGCAGGGCCAGGCGTGCAGACTGGAGTTGACTCGAGGGCCAGCACGGCTCGGCGCAGGCTTCCGCGCTTTGCCAGGCCCTCCGCCCTGCTGAGTACTCCCGCCTCGTTGGGTTGGTGATGTGGAGGTGGTGGGGTGTTGACAGCTTCGATCGCGTCCGAATACAACTGCTCCCATTCGCCACGCTGGAAGGATCGGAGCCGAGCCTTGACCTCGGGCCACTTCGGTCGTCTGGGTGATGATTGGCGAAATGTAAGTCGCGGGAGAAAAAGTAGGAGTCGCCAGCCTGCGATCGAGTCTGGGTTTCGCGAAAGGTGGAGGAGTGGGGTGAGTAACGCCAGTGAAAACAGCTGACACAAATTGGGCAGTAATCGGCGTGACAGGGATGGCTGACGACTGTCGCATAGTGCTGCAATGTCCCAATTAGCGATGGCCGCGAACAGGTCTGCTCGCTTCGCTAAGTCTTCTGGCGAGCAGTAGTGGGGGGAATGTGGGTGGTTCGGTGTTGCAGAGTCGCCGCGCGCTACTCGATTTCTCGGTATGCGCCTCGATGCTGCGTTCTACCTGGGGGTTGGAATTGCAGCCGTCCGATCGGCCGATAGCACTCCTCCTGCCTCCCCCGTCTCGTCCCCAGCAGCCTCTTGTCTCCCAGGCCTTTGCCTCACAGACTGTGTGTTCTCCTCCTCGTCACTCTCGCTTAGTGGCAGCGGTTCTTCTCTATATGTAGGATCCGCTCTCTCGTCAGGATCATTAGCTGCTTCTAGTGCTGTTAAAGCCACTCGTCCTGCCGCCTGGAATCCGTTCTCCGGTCCCCCTCCTGCTCCACTTGCTGCTACGCGCCCTCGTCCGCGTCCTCCTCGTCCCCGAGATGGTGATTGCTGGAGGGCCCGAGTATTCGCCAGTGCGCGCTGGCGCTGCATCGGTTGTGTCCGAAAAACCGCCGACTGCGTGCGGAACGGAGACCACGGCGACGAAACCCCCACTGCCGCCTGCTCCGAAGCCCGTGAAAGAAGCCGCTGGAAACCTTCCTCACCCCGAACCGTCACCTCGCGAGGTAGTGTCTCAGACTGGCGAGGGCGGTCATCATGTTCTAGCGCCGTCGGCGTCTCCCCCCGTTGCGTCAACTGCGGTGGTGGCTCCGCCTGGCGCTCTTCCTGCTGTTGCCCATGGGCGTCGCGCAGGCGGCTGTTGATGGCGGCGAGGTGGCGAAATCGGTGGAGTCCTCCACCACTGACGTCCCGGGCCAGGGGGCGCTCCCTACCGCTCCCGCTCTTCCAACTGCGGCGACACCGGTGCCGCCTCCGCCCGTGCTGGCAGGTCCCGCTCCTGCGCCGCCTGTGGCTGCTCCCCCTGCTCAGCGTGGGCCGTCTCTAGGCCGCCGTCAGCAGCGGCCTCACTCCCCTGCGCCCCGTGACGAGCGGGAGACGTCAAGGCGGCGCCACGATTCTCCTCGGCGCCGCGGTTCCCAGGCGAACTGGGCAGCTCCCCGCGGCGGGCGTGGTGGCTGGTGGGGGCAGCGCCATCACGGTGGTGGCTGGGCGCATGATCAGCCGGTGACGATGGCGAATCTGCAGCGCGCTGTTTCTGCTGCGGTGCGAGAGGAGCGGATTGGGCAGGCGAGCCAGAGCCACTCGCCGCGTGTCGCTCCGACCCCTGCGGCTCCTCCTCCAGTTGCGCTCCCTGTGCCTGCAGCTCCGCCTCCGCGTGTAGCAGCTCCGCTTCCCCCTGCTCCCTCTGCGTCTGCTGCTGCTCCGGCAAGTCGCGAGGAGCCGCTGTGGTTTCCTTCCGCTGGTGACGCGCTGTCGTTCCAGGCGTTGGCGAGACCTCCTCGCATGGCTGAGGTCCCCGAGGTGTCTCTCGGGCAGCTGTGGCGCCTCGCTGAGGCCTTGCGGGCCGTGCACCTGGTCCAGGCGTACGGTCATGCGGCTCTCGCTCGTGGTGGCTCGCTGGATGGTCGCCAATGGGACGAATGTCTCGATGCTGCTGACCGGCTCGCGGAGCTGCTGGCTCCCGTGTTGGCTGCGCCCGCGATGGGTGTAATTGCGGGTGTTGGGCAGCTTGGTACAGCTGTCCGTGGTCTGCGGCGGATTTTGCGCGCAGGCTCTGGAGCCGATGGGATCGGCGCAAGCACGGCGGCGGTGCGGGAGCTGCACCGCTCTCTGACTGCGCTCCTGGCTGTTCTTGACGCTGATCAGTACTAGCGTCCGCATCCTCCTGCTCCATTTTCGCTCCCTTCAGTGCTTTCCTAGGCGCTCGTACATGATGTCATTTCTTGTGATTGTTGCATATAGTCGCTTGCCTTTGCTGCCAACCTTGCCGTCCCCTTACGCGCGGCCGAAGGCTGCGCTGTCGAGCGTCGGGCGCCGAAGGTGGCCGGCGCGAGCCGCTCGGTTAGGAGAGTGAAGTCACCGATGAACAAATAGTGAGCTAAGGAACTAGGCAGCAGAGCCTTTATAATAGGGGACTAGGGGGCTGAGAGGCTAAGGGAGAGGCCTAGGTGCCTCTCTCTCTCTCTCTCTCTCTCCCTCTCCCTCTCTCTCTCTCTCTCTCTCTCTCTCTCTCTCTCTCTCTCTCTCTCTCTCTCTCTCTCTCTCTCTCTCTCTCTCTCTCTCTCTCTCTCTATCTCTCTCTCTCTCTCTCAAGCGGTCCTTCATTGATAGGATCAGAAAGGTATAAGCATGGCATGAGTAAAGGCTAGGCCATTTGTCTACTCTAGATATGCATGCAAACAGGGCGAGGAATGCTGCCTCCGTCGCCCTGTTCGACTAAGCCAACAGGGCGTTGGCCCGGCAACGTTGTAGCATGACCAACCAATGCTATCGGTAGTGGGCAGTACGCCTGGAGGCCACCGTGGCGAGCCTCCCCTGGCGGTACTTCTTCTTTGCTGTACTAATACCCAGGATACGGAAGAACTTCTGGGTGTCCCTAGCGAGTCACCCATAGGTCTCTACTGCTAGGCCAAGGCACCCTGCAAACTGTGGGTGGACCTCGTACAACCCTCTCTTCATCCTTGCTGCCTTCTTTTCCGCCCATTCTGGTGGTTTCCTGCCTCGGGTGTCCTGGCGCTGGAGTACTGGGTCGGTCATTGTCACGTCTGTGACTCACGTCTCCCCCGATTCCCTATCACGGATGACCAGGTCTGCCCTTTTAGGGTTGACTATGGGCGAGAAAGCTGTCATTTTGTGTAGGGTTAGGAAGTCGGCCTCGTGTGCCATCCGGAACGCCGCGTGTACCAGTGCGCTGTGTGTGTTAGTCCGGTACCCTCCGTCCGCACACCGTAGAAGGGTAAGCTCTTGTGTGTGATTTTGGTGCATTGGCCTTGGCAGGGACAATGCTCCGATACTACCAGTGTGAGGCTGAGTCGGAAGCCCAGCGACATGGCGAACTGGCCGGGTGAGAAGGTAAGGCCGGCTTTGGTGAGGATAGCATGCAGCCAGTCCCTTGCCCCTCGCGTCTGTAGGCTCAGTAGGCGCACCACGTGACCGTTGTACTTCAATGGCCTGTCAATTCTGGTGTCTCCTATCAGTTCCGCGGCTCGGTCTAGGTTGATTTGGCGCGAGAGTCCGAGTTGCAGCCGTCCTTTCTTTCCCCACTGCTGGTGGTGTTCAGGTAGTCCACTCTCGGGTATTTTGCTCCTCAGGTCCCTGAGGGTGTCCCTCACTGCTGCTATTGGTCCGTCCCCTTCGGGTGAGACGAGCCGGGCCCGATTGGCGCAGTGGGTGGTCAAGTTGCTCTGGGTTGCCGCTTAGTAGGGGAATGGACCGCGCTCAGTGACGCCAGGTAGGCTGCCGTCGCCTCTGAGACTAGGTCTATCAGGCGTAGGCCACTCAGGCACACTGGCACTGTCGCTTGCCTCCATAGCAGGCTCTGCTAGAGTTCCTCCTTTGGCACATGCAGGTGTGCCGCTTTCAAGGCCGTCCAGACCGATCTCTCGCTCCATCCTCGCCTCTCTCCCAGGGGGATGAGGTCTGCTGGTGTTGTGCATAGCAGGTAAGGTATGCGCCGGGAAACACGCCGTTACAGCAGTAGCAGCGCGTGTTGCGGGTGAATGTTGCCGATCAGGTCGAGTAGAGCCGCCACCGATTCCAGGTACGTCGTGATCATGCGCCTCCTGTAGGCAGTTGTTCCAATAGGGCTTCCCAACAGACAAATGCCGCCCACTGACACCACCAAATTATCTGGCAGATCTACCTGGCGCACGCCGCGTGCGCTCTCGATGTAAGGCGTCGCAAAGCCTTGGTCGCGCAGCAGGCGGGAGGGCGTGCCATATAACGTCCTTATTAGGGGTATTATGCAGTCTAGAGAAAATGAGAGATTCTAGGAAACAGGTGCGTTCCACCGAGTTGAAGGCGTTCTTGATGTCCAGTTGTAGGGCTATTCTCTTTGGGTCTTTGGATAATAGAGCGCGAACCATGTGGATGATACATTCCGCGCCTCCTGGGACGGCCATACCGAATTGTACCGGTAGGAGGTACTCCCGGATCGGTCCGCTTAGCTCCCTCAACACCAATGGCTATGGGCCTCACACCCCTAGCTGGCTTTTCTGATGCAATTAATATGGACAGTAACTGCAGTTCCGTTAGATCCGCTAAGATGTACATGCTGAGGAGGTAGTTGATGAGGCTGTGTAGGTACGAGAAGACTTCTCCGTTTGCCAGGGCAGGGTCTCGCAAGTGCTCGAAACAGGTTCCCAATGGCCTCGCTCCTATGTCGTTTGGGCACTTCGCCAATGCTTCGTGAAAAGTTTCAGCTGAGGTTAAGAGAATGGACGATGTAAACTCTGTTACACAGCCCAGGATTTCTCGTGAGGACTTCGGGTGTTTAGCTCGTAATGCCTCCAATGTTGCAATCGACGGCCCATGGCGACGTTTGCAACGTTGCAACTGCTTTGGACAGGTTCGATTTCTGAACCAGGCCTTCGGCCGTGGCGAAGATGCCCTCAGGGTTTGGTTGATGTCAGCTCGGTTGGGATTTTTGTGGGATGGTGAAGGTTTGTGAGTACAGCAGGTCCCACTTATCTGACTTGAACTGGTGGAGCTTGTCTCCACTTCGCCCCACTCGTTTCCGAGTGCTTTCTCAATGCTCGCCCTAAGTGTCAGTCGCGGAAGGAATAGCAGGAGCCGCCACTCTCCTTGGCAGGTGGGTTTCTTGGAAAGTCGAAGTAGGGGAATTGTGAGGCAGTTGCTGTAGACCCCCAAGATTTGAGGAAGAAGTTTCGGGACTACGGTTGGGCGCTGTTGCGCAGTGGTCCCATATCCCATTCCTCCTCTCGTCGACACGTCGTCTCGTCATCAGCAATGTCTAATGGCGAGCGCTCCTCGTTGACTGCCACAATGTTGGGTTGTTCGCATGATTCCGCCACCTCTGCCGCCTGGGCGTTTTGTACCCTCCCACGTCCTTGATCTGTGCCAGAATTGGGCACCCCATGCCCTGCCTTTAGGGAGACATTCTAAGATTCAGCCTCTTCCGACCCCATATATGAAGTTATCAGTCTGCCCCGCGACTGCCAATTTTGGCCTTCCGTGCCTTTCCCGCCAGTGCCCAGATCTCGCTGTCTCCGTCGCCACTGCTCTCACCATCCCCCCTAGGCCTCTCTTCCAGTCTCAGCCTCTCCCCCGGGCTCCCCTCGCCAATGCCGGTGACGCGTTTGGCGGTCACCATCCTGCCGCTCGGTGGTCGGCCAGTTCCTGCAGAGCTCGTTGTCGGCTCGTGCCGGCCCGTTGTCGTCGGTGCTCGGTCTCTGTTGCTCGCATAATCTCTTCGTTTTCACCGGCGTCCTCTCCTAGGTCTACGGGCTACGGATCTGCGTCGTCGCCGTGCTCCGCCGCGGCCGTTTTCTGGCGTCGTGCTGATGACTTGCAAGTGTCGCAACCCGCCACGGTAGCAGATCGAGGCGGGGCATCCTGCTGCGTCCACCCCACAAGAGGCCGAGGGCGGGCGGGTGCGAGCCCTGCTTCGAGTCGCCGCTGACCTGGTTGAAGCCGAGATGGGTGGCGACCCGGTGCATCCACGAGGCGATTCGTCCAGTCCTCGAGAGCCGATATATCGGTCCCCCCGCATACGTGTCCATCCCTATCTACAGCCCCGCAGGCAGTCCTTCCGCCGTCGTCGTCCGCCTCGTCCTCCGCGCGCCTTCCAGCCGTAGTCGTTCCATCCCCTGCTTCAGTAGCCTCAACTTCAGGCGTCACAGTCGCAGCAGAAACAACTTCGACTGCTAGCATCGTGATCGTCGTCGCACCAGCATTCGTCGAGGCTGGTTTCGTCCTCCCATCCCCTACCTTGGCCGTCTCTGCAACTTCTTCCTTCGCCTCCGCCCAACCCCGCCGTCGGCGCCGGCCGTAGTGGCACCTCTCGTGCCCTGTGTTCCTGTTTCGATGCCGCTCGCGGCCTTCGGCCGTCCCTGTGCTTCCATCTGTCTCGTATGAGCAACCCCCCCAGCGAGAGCAGCCTCTCGTTCCTCACGACCCTCCTCCTGTCGCTCGTTTTCCTCCTCCTCAGTCCCGGTGGGGGTCTACCGATCACCCACCCGACGCCTCGAATTTTGAGGACGACGCCCGGTGGTGGGATGCCCCCGCGACTCCTTGAGCTTTCTGGGGTCGGAAGTGGGATGTGCAGTCTCCGCTCATCGTTGACATTCCTCGCTGGGAGCGTCGGATGGTAGAGTGCTTGTCCCACGTTGCGATGGTGCTGGGGCAACTGCATTGCGGCTTGGAAAGGCGGAACCTTGCGTCCCCCGACCCTCAGCTGAGCGAGAGCCAGCATGGCCTTGTATGTGATGCCGCCGCACAGGGTCTGTGGAGGCTCCTCCGTCTGCCCTTGAAACCCGAGGATCCTTCCGAGCATGAGGGGTTTGGAGCGACTGTTTTCCGGGGGGTCGCTATGGCTGCCGAGGAAGCTCCCCTCGAGATCGTGCCCGCGCTCACGTCCTTGCTCCGTTGGATGTGCCGGCGGATGTACGTGTTGAACCGCGTGTAGGCCGTAGCACCTTCGTGGCTTTGTTATGTGCCTTGTTCTTCCCCATCCCCGCTACACTTACCTGGCCCGTAGTCTATGGCCCACGCTAGATCCTAGGAGTAAACTGAACTCAACAGAATATAATGAAGAGAGAATGAACCAGGAGTAGCTTTATATACTAGGAGAGGCTGGCTAAGCGAGGGTAGAGAGGCTAAGGGAGGCTGGGAGAAAATAAGGACCAGATCCC